TAAATATTTTATTATTTATTTTATTTCTATGTATTTAAATTTCTTTAATTGGTTGTACTAAAATATTGATTTCCCATCGAAAACATCTTGATTGTAAACATATAGCGGCAACGTAAAAAATACCATTAAATAATCATCAACAATTTCTACTACCAATTTGTCAAAATTAATGAGCTGACAATTTTTTTAAACCGTGTCATTCATTGGCGTGAGAATCTTAACACATTGCTAAAGCTGGGAAGCATTTTAAGAAGATAATAATACAACAACAGTAACAAAGGGCTGTAAGCAACATGAAGTGTTACCAAGTAGAAGCAGCATGAATGTTGAAATCGGAAGCAAGCAAGGGTAAAGTGTTCTTGTTGAAAAGCGAGCTCGAAACATTGAGTAGCAAAAGAATTTTTTATTCAATTATTTCGTAATGCGTGTATAAATATGTACTATAATCTGCATGTCTGCATTTATACTAAAGTGTTAATTATATAATATTTCCACTATGGCGTTTTAAAAAGAATTTTAAAATATAAGTGTCAAAAGAACATCTTAGAATTCATTGTAGCAAACAAAAAGTTTCTTAAAAGTAGAGTGGAAAACTTATGAGCTTTCTAATTTTTTTAAAATCTAACTACAATAATTCTTTTACTAAATTTTACATATTAAATTTTTGTACTCTTCAAAACCTTCCCTAGCACTAAATGAGGCTGACATTGATTTTTGTACAGCTGAGATGTTGAGTATTCCGAGAAACGAGGGTTTATTAATTCAAAAAGAAGTTGAGTTGAATGTTCCACGTGGTTTATTTTTCTAGTCAAATGGCTGCAATAGCCTGTGCACTTACTGAAGTTGCTACCTTAAACAGCAACATAATTTTTTCTGCTAACACAAATTCAAAAGGCATTACTATTGAGCCAGTGATCAGTTGGCTTGCAGTGGTTGCATTAACGGTAACATCCAAATTTTCCTTTGAAAATAATGAATGAAATTATAGAGTAAATAAGAAATGTTGCGATTTAATTCGCCAGTTGCAATCAGGGTTTTCTTATTTGTTCTTATTGCCACTGAGTAATGTTTAACTATGTCTGCATACAACTATTTTTTCTTTCGTACGTGTTGGTAGTGGTAAAGACATCTTTTCAGCTTCTGAAATTTACTCACGAATTGTGTTGTTGCTGCACTACTTGCTTAACCACTCTGCTGCCTTCGTAATTGCAACAAATTCTGGTTTCATTGTTTTAAAAAAAAAAAACTGAAAATCATTTGATCACTCCTAACAACCGACCCACTAACCCAATGTCGCACTTTCATTGATTACACAATGGAATCATTTCTGTTTGCTTTGGAGAAGAAGATCTATTAAATTTTTAGAATTTTATCTGCTTGTATATAGTTACGCCTACGAAATGAAGAAGTTTGTCTATGGAAAAATTAACACAAATATTAGAAAATATATTAGCTAGATTATTGCTTGCTGCTTATCTAGTTACAATGGTGGGCCGAGTTTGAGAAATCTAGTCAAAGCTGGGCGCATGACATAGAGACATTTATTTTGGGTGGCCTCAAAAGAAACCGGCGATACTTTGTAACCGCGGAAGCGATTTCAGCCAAGTTCCTGCTACATTTTGTGGTTTTGCGTCTTGATGTATTTACAATAAATGAAGAGACCTACAGTTTGTACTACCGCCTTAGAACGGCTGATGGTTTTTTACGAATAGCTTTATTTCATGTCAAAAATACACTCGGAAGGGTTGACATTCCTTGCCGAGGGGCGACCGCAATTAGAAAATTTAGATTAACTTTTTTTAAATTAATTTTCTATAACTTTTTGGATGTTAGTACAACACCAGGATTTATAGCCGAGCCTTCCGAATGGCAGTTCGCAAAACTAACCGCACGGCTAACGCGGCCGCCATTAAAAGGTAGGTATGGAATTTTTCAAAGATTCGTTGACGAATGACTCCGCCAAATTTGAATTATGAGAGATTTCTGTTAAAACCGCCATCGCATCGAATTCATCAAAATCACTTTTGTTTGAAGATGGTTAACATTTGAACCAATTGTCTCAAACAATTTAGTCGTAGAGTATTAGGACTTAACCGCTGTTCGCGTAAGCATCCGATAATCTATCTATCCATCAATGCTTTGTCCAGAATAACTGACGGATTAATCCCCGGCCTAAATCACTGATCTTAAGGACCTGAAACTTGAAGGGTGTGTTCTGCATAAGCACTCGACAAGAAAAGATAAGTGGATCTGGACTGATCTATTCTAAAAAACAGAGAAGAGGCCCAGGGACCGATTCGATGGTTCGACTTTGGCAAGGTTAATATGATAGTGCATGGACGATGACAGCATCTGATGAGTCGGCGTTAAGAATTTTCGAGAGAAAGGTTTTGCGTAAGATTTATTTTAGATTGCGCGTTGGCAATGGCGAATATCGCAAACCTTGGATCGATGAGCTGTACGAGTTATACGGCAATATTGACATAGTTCAGCGAATCAAGAAGCAAGCAATGTGCCTGCAATGGTCTTCTTACAAAATTCAAAAGCAAACACCTTTCAATAAAATTAAAAGAACTTCTATACAAAGCACTTATTAAGCCCGTCAAATATATAGTGTATATTTATATGGTCCCACTTATGAATATGTTCAACCGATCGTATAATATCGCGTGCATCCGGAACATGGATGACTTATATGAAAGAATTAGAGGGAATATAAATACTTCTGAATAATCAGGTTGGTTAAAAAGTTTCTACGCTCATCGAGAAATTAGTGGAGCTTTAAAATGAACCGTTTTCTTTTTTGGGCTGGTGAACTTTAACGTGGTCGTTCTAGACTTCAAGCCGCTCCACTCGTAGAACAACAAAAACAGCAACCAGAGCAGAAATAATTAAGCAATTTCATAATATTTATTGTTAGTGAAGATCCTAGTTTAACTAAGCGTGAAATTTCTAATGCCATATGCATCTCAAACGAAAAAGCTGTTTGGAAAGCTGGATCAAAAATTAATCTCTCAACATAATTTGGAACATTTTAAACAGAATAAAACCGATTTCATGCGTCTTTTAATAAATATGAGACTAGGGTCTACTACCATGATCTCAAATTGAAACAAACATTTTTTTAGTGCTGGAGTGAAGCTGGTTGTTCAGCTCCAAAGCAGGTAAAATCTGAATATTATTGCAGTCTTTTGGATCAACTGGGTGAAAATTTCATAAGAAAAGACCTGTAGGGCAATTCTCTATCGTATTATAACGATTTTCGGATCGTTATAATGACTTAACGATAATTTTAACGATTTTGCTATTCTCTAAGCACAGTATAACGATTTTCGGATCGCAAATTAGACTTAGCGATATTTTTAACGATATTCGCTATTCTCTAAAATGGTATAACGATTTTCGGATCGCAAAGAAGACTTAACGATATTTTTAACGATATTCGCTATTCTCTAAGAATAGTATAACGATTTTCGGATCGCAAAGAAGACTTAGCGATAATTCTAACAATTTTAATATTCGGTGTACTTGTTTTAACGATATTCGCTCTCGCTGTTGTCGTAAACTACTGGAAAAATCGCTAACTAAGCGACGAATATTTTTTAGTTGTTAGGGATATCGACAAAGTTTTGTTACTTCATATAAGAGAGTAAAGTGTCTAAGTAATACAAAAATAAGAATAAAATAATAAAATAAATGGCTTTTGAATATTTGGCATACGATTTGTCACAAGATGAAGAGGTATCCTACCCTTCATCATTGGATAGAAGTTTGCGTCGAGAAGCGGAAGATCCTTTTCATTTGGATGCTACCGAGTTTCGGCAGCTATATAGATTAACGCCGGATTTAGTTGAAGAAATCGTTTCTCAACTAGATTGTCAACTAAAAGAAAGAAGAATAACAGCATTGTCTACGGAGAAACAGGTAATAATATATTTTTTTCAATATTTTTTTAGTCTTAACACTATTAAAATTTTTAAAGGTTCTAACCGCCTTGCGATTTTTTTGCAACTGGATGCTGTCAACGTCCCGGCGGAGAGCAATGGGGGATATCCATGAGTCAGTCGTCAGTAAGCCGTTGCATTCATCGCGTAACAGACGCAATCAACCGTTCGATGTTTTCGGCGAAGGTAGCTCGGTTTCTTTTTGTCGTAGCCATTCTACAATTATACACATAATAAGGCATGTCTAATAATACAAAAACTAATAAACGTTTCATTTTACTTACATTTTTCAAAAATATATTCAAAAGCCAGCAGAAAAATTTGTACCTACTAATTTGGAATAACGAATTAATATGTTTTTGTCATTCCTCTTTTTGTTTTTCGTACATTTTGACGTTTCGATAAGCTGTGGTGCCACCTTTCCTACATTTTAATAAAATGGAAATGTGCGATGTCGATTATCGTAACAACTGAGTTAGAGAATCGCATAATCGTTAGCGCAAGCGACAAAATTCGGAACTTTGCGATCCGACAAATCGTGTCGATAAAAGTTACAGAATTGCACTGCTGGTTTGCAGCACATAATAACCATTTTTCATCAAGACAATGCACCTACTTGCAAAAGTATTTGAACAATGACAAAGTTCAACGAATTAAAGTACGAATTGCTTAAACATCCACCGAATTCTCCAGATCCCCTGGCTCCCTGCAACTACTACCTCTTCAGAAACATGGAACAATTCCTTCGTGGAAATCGTTTTTCGGCTTAAGAAGAAGCTACGCCGTGTACGAGTTTTTTGCAGAGCTTCCGGAAAGTCAATAGCATAAAATTTTTGGAATATTTTTCGTCCCAAAAACAGTGTGTTTTCATTCCAACCTGTAAACAAATTACGCAGGCAACAGGGAAATTTTTCAAATTTTCGACACTACATTCCCTTTTTTCACTTTGATCATAGCCGAAGTGTATTTTTCTCCAGCCAGTTGACCTAATCCAACTTATCCTTCTACATGAATCAACTTCATATATATTTTCCATTCAAACCAATAATATTTTATGAGAATATTTAAAAATATAAAATAATATAGTTCATGAAATAATTTTAAATAACTTATAATTTACTTGGCATACACAAAGAAATGCTTAATTATCGAGGTAACTAATCCTCCTTTTTGGAAAGTTCTTCCACCAATTTAGCACTTTGTGCTTTTATCTGTTTGCGATTTGGTACATTTTGCAAAGGTTTCGATTCCTGCAAAAGATCTTCCTCTTCCTCTTGTTCCTGCACTTCGTTGCTATCGTCGACATTCTCAATTTCCATACTCTCAAGGAATTCATTCTGATAACCGTCAACATAACGAGCCATTGTGGCAGGTGGAACCTCCTCCTTGTACGCTCGCATTAATTTATAAACTTTGCGAATTACTGAATGCATAATGGTGTCGACTGAGGAGAAATGTAAAAGTTTATTTCAATTCAAGAGAACAATATTTGGCTTACTATTCTCCTCGTAATGCTCAGGAGGGCATGCACGCATGGTGAGCATCTCAAATTTCAGTAACGGTAGACGTAAATACGAATTCGGATATTTTATACGTGACGGCTTATCCGGCCGATCGACGTGACGAAGAATCTCATTCAAGTTCCACAAGGAGAAGCTGGGAATTACAATTAAGCATTTAATGTCCAATAATGTGGAAACTATATAAATTTCTAATAGTACAAACCGTAACATAACATAGGCATCTGCACGATTCTTAATGTAGGCAATATTTTTCTCCTCTTCCTTATCCTCCTCTTTTATGGCGTCCTTGAGCTCTTGTATCCGATCCAAGCGTCTAGTTTTTGAATAATGCACTTTTCGATTAAAAAATGTAAATTGAAAATATTTCACAGAAACTTACGCGATCTCCTGCTCCGACAAGTTATTCACTAAAATACCCTCCAAAACCTCAGCACGTTTCATTTTTGTTTCCAACGTCTGATGACCAAGCATATCGTTCTCGATCATTTTTTTTAACTTAAAATTGTTTTCCACTTGAGATTTTATTCTGCATTTGAATAGATAGACAGAGGTTATTGATAATAAAATATAATGCTAAAACCGGTGGAAAATGCATAATCATATTATGTAATCCTATCCAATTTGATTTATCTGTGCTTGCATTCGACAATTCATCGAATTTGGTGTTCTGAATTTTTGAGTTATCGGAAGTTAGTTTTAGGGAGCAAGATCTGTACATAGCACATGGTCATGGCTGGGCAATGGAATATTTACAACTGTATGCATATTAAATAAAGTATTTCAGCTAAGAATCTCAAAGAGGCAGCCAATTCAAAAACATATTAAAAGATTTTTTAAGAATCTGAGAGGTGTACACATGATCAGAATTTCAATTTAGAGTGCTTCGTGTTTCCTGTTAACCCAGCCTGCCACCAGACCTGTTCTCAAAATAAAATTTCCATATTAAGCAAGTCAAGTCGAAATCTGAGAAAAATAAAATGTTCATATTCATTTTAAGATGAAAAGGGAAAATAAAATTATTAGTTTTGGTTTCATCTTCATCATCTCACTGCTCTGGAAATATGCGAATGTACTTTCTTTCAAACATACTCATTTATGTATGACTTTTTATATATAAATATTGATAATATTACCTTGGATATATCTCTTTTGCTTGTGAGCAGAGTGTTGCAAATTTCACTTGCTTTATTGTGTTCTCTATCACTTCCAATTCATTTTTAAGGAATAACATGCTCGCAGTTTCACGTACGTAACGCTTAGCATTTGATATTGGATCCTCTGGCTTTTGTGCTAATTTCGGAATGCTCACTCGTTTCCCTTCCCTACGATATTGCGCCATCATTTGTAATTTCGCTTGCATACTTTTGCGCGATTTGTCCTCCATTTGCTATTTAAAAACGTTTATTAAGAAAGGGAAATAAACGGAATAATATTCGTGTAGTTAGCAAATGGGAGCTTTAGTCTTCAAAAATACTTATAAATAGTTTTCTGAAATACATATTGTCAATGTGATTGCAGTAGAACAAAACACAACTAACGCTGTGTTTCCTTTTAATTGGTGAAATTTAAAAGCTTAAATAAATAAATCTTCCTTTCACCATTTTTGAGCAAACCAGAACATGCCATGTGAACTTTTGTTCAATTGAGAAATACACAAAATCACATTTTTGAAGACTTTCACTCTTCGTAAAAATTTAAATGAAAAACTTCATGAAACATAATCAAAGAAATCGTCTTGACAACGCCTACGCTAAAGCGAACTCAATAAATTATAAGTGAATGAGTTCGAAATGGAAGAAACTTCACCTTAGATAATTCGTCCAACATATCGATACCGAACCGCCAAAAGGATCTGGCTTAGACATAATACTTTAGCGCAAGAAACTCGATCAAATACTGTGGCATCGTTATGTCTTAATCAGTTGTTGTTCTGAGACTTTTGCAGGAGCAAACATTGGAGTTGGGACAAATTGCAAGTGTTAAGAAACAGTTTTGTTTGGAAAGTGGCACAAACTAGCAAGTAGGAAAAACAGCTGTTTTGTGATCATATGATTGAATTTTTGTCAACAATCCAAAATTTAATTGAAATGAAAATAGTATTAATTCTTTGATTTTGAATGATACATTAACACAATAAATGCTCAAACTTAATTTTCATAATATCAGAGATTCAATTAAATAGTTACAGTACTCATTAAATAAGAATGTGGTGGGAGTGGAGTGAAATCATCACCCGGTTTACTTTGAGAAATTAGAAGTTAGGAATGTTGAAGGCATTGAATTAGAATATATTTCTACTTCTACCATTTTTCTTTGTTGTATAACAAATATTCAATTCTTACAAACAACAAGGCCTCGTAGTTTACTTAATAAAAATAAAATATATTAAAGCATGGCCGCAAAAACAAATTATGATTTTTTTTAATTTTTTCTAAAACGCAAGTTGACTTTGGATTACCAAAATTTACCAAAAATCAGTGTCGACCAAATTAATGCAAGGATCGCAGTGACGACAGCCATTATATTTTTCTATTTTTTTTTTGTGAAAAAGTTTCATTGTAGTTCCGGCCATAGCCACAAATATGCAGAATAAGAAACCGTTTTGGTTACAGATGATTCATTTTGCAGCTATCGTGTTACTCACCAACAAAAGGTACGAGTTTCAGCCGCCACTTTAAAAGCCGCAAATGTTCTTCAATTAAACACATGCTTTGTATATTTAATAGTATATTCAGACTACGCTGTTTTCCTAAATTCTGGAAACTTTCGGAAATTATTATGATCCCCAAACCAGGTAAAGATCCATCTTTAATGGGCTCCTACAGGCTTATTAGCTTAATTACGGTATTCTCGAAAATCATCGAAACATTTTTATTAAAAAAAATACTACCGATTTTAGAATCGAAAGAGACCATACCATCCCACCAATTCAAGTTTAGAGAAAAACACAGCACACTAGAGCAGATGCATAGAATCGTAGCACACATAAGATCAGCGTTAGAAAACAAGGAATATTGCACTGCAGTGTTCCTCGATGTTGCTCAGGCATTTGATAAAGTTTTTTTAGATGGTCTATTATACAAGCTTTCTTATTGGCAGAAAATTTCGTGTTAGTCAGAAAAGTTACACAACTGAATCCTATGAAATATTTGCTAGTGCTCCACAAGGAAGTGTTTTAGGGCCCGTCTTATATTTTTTTTTATACGAAGGATCTTCCCACAAACCGAATTCGTTACCTACCTGGGAGTTACATTGGATAAAAGACTCACCAAAAGTTTTCAAAGGCTTTTTTTCGGAAAACTTTTTTTATTAAAAAAATGTTTATAAATCAAAGTATTTGTAGATAAGTCGACATACAAAAATATTATACTTTTTTTGTATAATGTTTTATTGAATCTTTCATTTTTGAAAACTAACAATAGTTTCGAAAATCTTAAAGTAATTCTTATTTCTAGAACAAGTTAATCATTACCACTGTATAGATTAACAAAGTACGTGTAAGCAAAGTACAAAGTACGAATATAACTTAGATTTATCAAAGAATGTGCTTATATAGATATCATTTTTTACATACCAAGGGGCTTTGCATATTGATCTTAAGGTTTTAGACTGCAGTCTTTGAATACTATCTAGGCCAGATTGAGATGGCTTTATAAGCATATTTAAAAACTAAAACTATGACACTAAGTATTGCTGTATCATCCGCAAAAGTTCATATGATGAGGTTTGGGTTGTGGGAAGATCGTTCGTATAAATTAAATATAAGACGGGCCCAAAAACACTTCCTTGTGGAACACCAGCAAATATTTCATAGGAATCAGTGGTGTAACTTTTTTGCATAAGACGATTTCTAAGACATCATAAATTTTGTGAAATATAGACCATCTAACCTAACTTAAATGCTTGAGCAACATCGAGGAACACTGCAGTACAATATTCCTCGTTTTCAAACGCTGCTCGTATGTGTGCTACGATTCTATGCACCTGCCCTATTGTGCTGTGTTTTTCTCTAAACCCGTATTGGTGACATGGTATGGACTGTTTCGATTCTAAAATCGGTAATATTTTTTTTTAATAAAAGTTTTCCAAAGATTTTCGAGAATACCGTAATTAAGCTAATAAGCCTGTAGGAGCCCACCAAAGATGTATTCTTACCTGGTTTGGGGATCATAATAATCTCCGAAAGCTTCCAGGATTTAGGATAATAGCGTAGTCTGAACATACTATTTAATATACAAAGCATGTGTTTAATTGCCCCATTTGGAAGCTCTTTTGTCATATCACCCGTTATCCTGTCGTAGTAATAATTTCCGTAAGTGATTCAATATTAAATCGAATAAAATTTTCCTCTGGATCTGCATAGAATTCTGGAAGAGATTTGCATCCCATATTTGGTGTAAATACAATGGAAAGATGCATGGCCAATGAGATACTCTTTTCCTGGGACCTTCGAGCCCACTCACCATTGTGAGTTCTCAATTGAGGGTCGCAAAAATAGTAGTTAGTATCCGAAGTAGCTGACAGAGATCGTAAGGACTTTTTTTGTTTGAGGACATCCCGAAGCTTTTTTATGCATATATTGGACTAATTTTTTAAGGCTGCGGAACAAAATCTCTGCCAATCTCTCCTAAGTTGTCTTTCTTGTTACCAGACTTGTAATGTCTTTACCCTGAAGATCGTGGAAAATTTGTGTTCTATGATTGTTAGATTTCCACATCTGCTATTGATTTTAGAATAATGAGCAATTTCAGATGCGCACTTATGAATTTTCTGTATTTTGGCCAATTTGTAAATTCAGTGGTTAAGCCTCGCTGTAAGTCATTGAAAACTTGAATTATGTGAATGGAACATAGACAAGGCAAGTGATCGATGATAAGTCGAAAAAGGGTTTTACGTTTACTTGTGCTCTACTGATACCACAAGTTACTCCAAAGTCAATCGAATCTGGGGTTTTGTTGAGATCAGTTGGCTGACCGGAAGATATAACGTCGAAACCATTATTTTGAGAGACTTTTTATAATTTTCTATCCTCTGGAGATATTAGCCTAGATCCTCAAAAGGAATGTTTTGCGTTGTAATCACCTGCTTCTAGAAACCGTTTACCTAGTTTAGAAAAGAAATCAGTAATTCGAGTTTTAATATGTTGTTTTGGGCGGACACTATTTGGTGGAAATGTTTATTCCACCAGAATTATCATATATATGAACTGAGGTAGCGTGAAGGTAGTCTTTACAGTACTCTTCCATTATATAATCTTAAATTTTTTGCCTGATAAGTATTTCAGTTCCACCGTGAGCATTCTCTTCAGGGTGTTTGGTGTCATAAAACCAAAATGTATCAATATTGAAGTTGTTAAATTTGGCCAAATGAGTTTCGGAGATTAGCATTATATCTATTGCTTGATTTTCTAAGAAGAGTTGAAGTTCATTTTTGTATTGGACCAAGCCGTTGGCGTTCATGGCTTAGACAAAACCGCTTGCAGAATAAGACTTTGATTTTGAATTAAATTTTGTTTCATACTTTGCATTGATGTCATATCTTCTTGCATGAAACGTATAAAGTTGTTTAGCGTATTTTCAAGTGAGTTAACAGACGGAATGAACGGGATGGACGCTTCTTGCGTTGTGAGCTGAGGTACACCTTTTAAAGCTTGGGCATAGAATATAAGGTTGGTATAGTAGGCTTTGTTTCGGCGGCTTTTGATGGAGGCTGATGGTGAGATTGAGAAGTAGGAATGTGATTTTCACCGCAATCGCTTCATTTCTAAGACTCAGGGGCTTTAGATTTCATATAGTCTTTTGAACTGTGTAAATCTCCAGCGCAATATTGCTTCATATGGCCAAATTCTTTACAATTATGGCACTGAACAGGACCTTATGTGGTTCTTCTACGGAAATACGACGGTGAAGAAGGTACCGCAGTTTGTAAATGGGATGAGCTTTTCCCTTTTCTAAGAGCTGGAAATCTGGCTGAATATCAACCTTAAACATTGGTTGAGGTATGTTAGCCTCATTTTTAATAGTGAATACGTTTCTAACCCTAAAACCTTCTTCTTTCAAGGCACTTTCTATTTCCGAGGGACTTACACTGTGTTCTATGCCCTTTAGGACGACTGCTAAGCTACGCCTACTTTTGAGCTGGAAGGTATAGACGGACTTCTTTTACTTTTCGAAATTATTTGCCACCCGGCGATAGCTACCTTTTGCGTAAGTCTACACTTTCACTTCCAGGATATTTCTCTTCTCTAAGATAATTCGCTTCACTAAGATAAATTGACGGCGGCTTAAACGTTTTCTGCACACGCAATTGACCATCAGCATCAGAAAGCAATTGAAATCGATTATTGCTCATGCTGTCTTTTTCTCTTGTAGTTTTGACAATCTCGTTTTGATTTTGTTGACTATTTTTTTTTTTGGGTGCCCGTTCCCTTTTTACTAGAATGTAGCGATCGATTCCCGTTTGCATTACTGTTTTCTTTGCAGCGCTTTTTGCGAAAAAGTCTTGCGTTTCGACTCTAGAAGGAGCTGGAGGAGTTGCTTTAAGGGGCGATTGAGCCCATGAAGGGGCTGGTAAAGTAGTCCTAGATGGGATTACAAGAGCAGAAGGCTCATTTTCCAATCGTTGTGTTCGCTGTTGGTGTTGTTGTTGTGGCGCTTGTTGTTACTGTTGGCTTTGGTTAATTTATATAGTTTGCACAAGATATTTTATTTAAAAATTGAAAATAAATATAGAGCACAGTCACTTTCACTTTGCACTCGCAAGAGTTGCATCGGGATTGTTGCTCACAAAAATTAATCAACTCAAACTGCATATAACTTGTAAGAAAGCTTAAAGACACACATCACAAATCTAAGATCTATTTTTTTTTTTTAAATATATATATTTTCACTAACAATCGGTTGTCTTCTCGGAAAACGGAAATTAAACACTTTTGGCAGACTAAATTCTGCTTTGAAAATCGTCTTTTGCGTTCAAACTTGACATTTTATTTAAAAAAATTAACACTGGATTTTGATCTGGCAATATTTTGTAAAGAAGTGTCAATTTGAACTGCGAGGCCGGTCAAATTTAAGCAATATTTAAATAACTTCCAATCAGGAAACCCATTACTTCACGCTCTTACGTAATGCTCTATTGTACCTAATGTTTTCATGTACGCATCGAATGGATTTCGGCTACTTACCCTATATTCTTCACTAAGTTCCTTAAACTTAGCAATCGCCGGCATGCCCAAATGCAAAATATGTTTTATGAAATTCGATTGATCCTCAATATCTTGGCTGAGTGAACGCAAGATAGGCTCGTAAAAGATTCCATCGTGGCGTAACACTTGAATCATTTTTCTGTATGTGCCATTTATGGTTTTAATTGCTTTTAAACGCACATTGGAATTCTCGATTTTCTTGCGGAAAACACGGGACTTCAATTCCTCTTCCAGTACAAATTCATTTTCATACTTAATGCGATTTTGTAAAACAGCGCGCTCTAGCTGAGAGGGGCAGAGAAATTGTTCAGTGTTAACACTTTGTATAGTGTTGCATCTATCGCCTCACTTACTAATTTTTCCTTGTACACATTCTTCAATTGATCCAAACGAAACTTCAAACGATCTCGTTCTTTACGCATCACAAACGTGCGCTGGTTAATGTTATCCACAACCAACTCAACGGGCATCTTCTGGTACAAGCGTTGCATATCCTTATGGTTAATTAAAAAATTTCTTATCTTTTTTGTATTATCACCGTACAGAACGTTGGACAGCTTGGTGCGGCCATCACGACACTGTCGTTTCAGATTACGATTCTCTCGTATGTAGCGCTTGTGATTAGCAGCTGCCTCTAGCTTCTTAAACACCAAACGTTTAGCTAGTCATTTGAGTAAATGTTGAGAATTGTTCTTCTAATTTCTACTGATTAACTTACACAACAAATCCGCCATGCCTTTAAATTGCTCGGTCAACGAAGTTGGCGTCCAGCGGTCATCAATGACCATATGTTGTCGTACGAAGGATACACCAAAAAAACCGTGCGTTCGTACGGCTCGCGGATGTACTGGCTTTGGGGCCATTGTAAGATTTGCTGGTTGTCGAGCAGAAAGCCTTTGACGCGAATCGTTTTTATTTCCAACCATTTTTATATTCTCTGGTACTTATTTTATTAAAAAGAAATTGCTTCAGCGTTCAGTTGAGAGGATATATCGACTGATGCAACGATTTTTGTATAATTATCTAGGTTAATATAAAAATTTTCTAGATTTGACAATTTATTTGAAAAATTGTACTAAAAAAATTGTGATAAATTCGTTTTCAATGAAAAGATTATGTGAGACAAATGATTGAGTAACATTTCATACTTTAGAATATGATATGCATACTATTGAATCTTTCATTCAAACTTATGTAATAGGCGCTTTGTAACTGCTGAACCGAATTTCGGCCGAGCTCCTACTCCAAAATGTGGTATTCGCCTTGTCGTTTTCCCAAAAAATGGGGAGACCTACTATTTATTCTAAGCAGCCTCCGAACGGCCGATGGATTTTCAAAAGAAGCTTTTATTTCATGTCAGAAACATGTTCGGAGGGCTTGACATTCCCTGTCGAGGGGGGCGGCAAATAAAAAATTTATGTTCTATAATTTGGAAAGTTTGTCGAACAAGGACTATAACCCTGGTGTTCCGAATGGCAATACGCAATGTTGACCCCTTTTTTCACTTTATACACATCACCGCATCAACCAGGATAAAATATGCACCCTAATTAATGACTTATTTTCGAAAGTGAGCTGCTCTCTCGACGAATTTTCCGATTTCTTCTCTGCAAAACAACAAACTACAATCAGCGAAATCCTCGGCTTTCCTCTTCACCACCTGGACGATGGAATACCGGATCGATGTGAAAGTTGATGGCGTAAAAATCCCGATTTCAAACAGCCCGAAGTTACTGAGAGTCACATTCGACTGCATACGATTGCTCATTGCTATTGCCAAAACACTGCAGAACCGCAACAAAATAGTCACAGCTTTAGCAAGCAGCCCATGAGGGAAAGACAAGGAAATGTTGCAGGCAACTTATAAGGCAATTGGCTAGGCAGCCGTAAACTATGATGCTCTGTTCTGGGCGCGGAGGCCTAGTAAGCGCAGATGAAGGAGCTAGAAGCCTTCAAGACCGTGACAGGAAACCTGCTAATATCACCAGAGCATCACTTGCACAGTAAAGTATCTATACTACGCCTAGACGCCGAATCACCACCTAGGCACATCAGAAAAGGAGTACTCGACTTAAAGGTCTGCATTCAACACCACTTACAACAACCGCTGGACAGAATGGCTTACCTTCCTGAACTTTCTTGCAGTGAATGGCGTTCTCGGAGTCAAACCATCCCTAATGCAGACGATGAGCACAAGATACCTCGAGAATCCCGCGCAATATTGGCGCAATTAAGTCGACCACAATATGACTAAGGTCCACTCTGTTCCTAAGTGGGACTAGCGAACCGCTACAACAACAGTAAGTGTCCCACAATTACAAATCTCTATCGAAACATGCTGTCTGATGAAATCAATACTTCCTAACTCTTATTTGATTTCTGGAATCTGAACTCGAGACACTATTTAGATTTAGTTTCCAATGAGTCACTTCTCATTGACAAAAAGTTTTTCGTTTTACTCGACTGCCATTCCAATATATCACTGCGAGTTGGTATTGATTTGTATCTCCGGTAAGCAATGAGTCGCTTTTACGTTGTTCACAGTCCACTTTAGAATGTTGAATATTATTAATTTGTAGTAGTCAGCCGAAAGGCTCTTCTCTGATCAACTCATATTCAGAATGTAGTTGGACTCTTTAATATCAGTTACAATCTATATGTTAACGATAGCCCCAGCTCATTGATATGATCCCTTTTTCGGAGCTGATTCAATATACCTATATTTACAAGGTATTTTAGATAGGGATAACCATTTGGATCTATTCATCATCAGCCGCAGTATAAAAAACCCAGCGCAGCGAACATACACGGTGTGTCCCAAAAATAACCGAACTTTATATTTAAATCATACAACATACAGCGCCATCTATTGAAAATTTGCAATATTGAAAAGATACATTCATCCTCTTTCAAACTCACCTAACATAATGTAAGTCGGATGACAGATGTAAACGTGACAGCCATTTCTATAAAACCTAAAGTGTGTTAATGGTTCAAAAATGTTCCACATGAATTAAATGACGACCAAAAAATCGCTCGCGTGGAGCATTGCAAAGACATTATTGAAACTGCTAAAACGGTCCAGACTTCCTTGATTCGATCATAACTGGTGATGAGACATGTTGCTTTAAATATGACCCTGAAACTAAGCGTCAATCTGCTGAATGGAAGTCCAAAGGTGAGCCAAAATCAAAAAAATTGCGTTTTCAGAAGTCTCGAATCAAGACAATGCTGATTACTTTTTATGATTGAAGGGAATTTGTTCCAGAAGGTCAAACTGTTATTGGAGAATACTATTTAGGCGTTTTACATCGTTTGTGGAAAAAAATCGGTTGTGTTAGACCAGAATATCCAGCAGGAAAACAGCTGTTTTTATTGCATGATAAATCACCACCTCACAAGACCAAAAAAGTGAACGAATTTTTAATGAAAAAAGGGATTTCTCTCATCGACCATCCTCCGTATTCGCCTGATCTATCACCATGTGACCAATATGAAGGGAGCATTTTATGATGATATCCCAGCCATTCAAGCAGCTGTAACCGAGGTACTGAAGAGCATTTCTATAAATGACATAAAAAAATCTATGCATGCGCTGGTTGATCGTTCCAAACGTTGTGTTGAGTCAAAGGGAACCTATTTTGACTAAATAACAACTTTCAAAGATAATATAATGTGTATTTTATTTTATATCCAAAAAGTTCGGTTATTTTTGGGACACACCGTGTACACGTGGACAACTTTCTGGCATTCAAGTCGAACCGATTGTCTCCAGCAATTGACATCAGGTTGAAAAACGTCAGCTTGGACAAATCCAATCACAGGTAGCTCTTTTGGGGAAGGTTTAAGCCCATTTTTTCCTATGTATATATTTTTGAAATTTAGAATGGTAAAAATTTAGCGTCCGATTTATGTAATTTTACAAGTATAACATATAGGGGGTCCAAGCTAAGTGCAGGGTATGTTGAAGTGGAATACAACTGCCAACTGAGCAGCAACTAGCTTCTCTCGTACCAAGACCAAGGTGGCCCTGTTAGACCAAACTAAATACTACGGATCTAGAACTGGATGGTGTCGAACACACCATTGCCCCCAACAAGGGCAAGTGACCCAAGTCAACGCGCTTGCTGCTCCAACACCATCAAGCCCTCCGTTAGGGCGCATCGGGACAGGAAAGCGGCTCCCAAGATAGTGGAGAAAATTAGCGCCGTTCCTGCCGATAAACTGACGGTGGTGCATAAAGCCGGCAAGAAATGGTCGATAAGTATTCTCGCAGCTAGTGAGAAGTCGACGGTAGGTTCAGGCAGCGAGAAACCCCTCTCTACAACAAAAAGGCCTAGGTCTCAGGAAAACACCCCTAGTGTATCCAAGAGGCCCAGGCTCACAGCACCACATCAAAAGCCGACAGCCCAAACTGCAAGACGCTTTAGCAAGGTTGCCAAGGAGCATCTCACTCTAGGGGACGTAGACAGGGGGCACCCGGACGAGTACATTGCTCCGGATAACTGGAAATCTGTGCTGATGGGTCTCTGGAAGATGCACAAAGAGATATTGCAAAGGTATCCTGGCCCTGCACCCGTAGTGCGTGACGCAGGATGGCACAAAGGCCTTGTAAAAATTGTGGCGTGCGCTGACGATAGAGCGGTAAAACTCTATAAAGAGGCTATCGCCCCGGTCCGAGATCTCTGCCCTGGGACACACTTGGTGGCTGTGTCTAGGTACGAAATTGCTAGCAGGCCACGAGCCTGAGCAGAGCCCTCTGATCCTGAGAATATTCTGAAAGTCATCCAACTTGGGTGGAGGAGGTGTCCACCACTAATTGGAGGATGGTCCAATTTGGCGCGGTCAAGAAGAAGCAGCGCGTGCCGAATAGGATGCTGAAATCGAAACGCTATCCGTATCCGAGTTCGTCGGGACGGATTTCACATGCCCGGAAAACAAGGAGCAGGACCAGCTTCTGGAATACGGCACCGAAGTTGAGGATAACGACACAACTGTCACTAACCTCCTCGAGGCAGAGAAGGTCAGTTCCATGTATCTCATAATCTCTCAGGATGGTGCAGATACTCCATTCTGCGCCACTGCAAGAAAGTATAGGACTTAATTCTGGTCCAGGATCCCTGGATAGTGGGTGAAAAAATATATAGACTGGATTCTGATACCTAACAAACGGTATCATCTAGAAAAGGTAGGCGCAGGGCTTGTATTCTGGTTAAGAAAAACTTCTCTTATTTTCTTCTCTCTCAACATAGCGAGTGTTAATCCCCTCATCATACTTCTCTCACGACGAAATTCTGCCACCGACCCAGCTACACGAAGCGGTAAAGGAGGCGAACCGAAAGTTCCGCCGCTTGTTAGAGCCGATGCGAGTTCTCATCACACGGTATGGGGATCCAACGATACAAATATCGAAGGTGAGGCCCTACTTGATTTTATTTTAGATAACGAGTAATTGAGGAAACAAACCGACCTTCGCAACTTCCACCAGGAAGGAGGTTCTTGATATCACTTTAGATTCGAGCTCACTTTCTGACCATATCAGAAACTGGCATGTAGTCAATGAGCATTCCTTTTCTGACCATCTATATACAGTGGCTCACAGTCAAAGTGATGCAGTTTTATCTAACAAAATAAATGAAAAGTGTATATCCATCCGCTATTAAGTGGAAATCATGTTTTTTGGAAAATTTATTTAATATTTAAATAAAATATGGACGAAATTTGACGCGAAAAAAATCTAAACTTTTTATCCTTCTGGACCGGTACTCCATTAAAATAACGACGGGTGTGTGTGAGCACTGTTTAATGGCTCTTCACGGAATTAGGATGGGCTTTTGTTCTAACGATTTCTACCACGCCTATAGGGATAAAGAAGAGGAGGAGAACATCGATGATTACCTCTGCCACTCTCCAGCCTTGACATCCGCGCGACACAAGTTTCTTGAGAAACATTTCTTCGATTGTCTCGCTTAGATAGCCTCATTGGAAATCTAGTTGCCTTTATAAGGCACACCAAATGGTTCGTTCATTTGAGAAGTTGAAGGCAGGAGCTTCCGCGGTATCACA